GAATAACACGTCAAAACAAATACTTAATTTACTGAATAATTTTAATTATATGTATTATTTGATGGAGAATAGACACATGCAAAATAATATAAATTCTATTGTATTAACCTTTTTAATATTAATTATTTTAATATAATTCATATTAATTATTTTAATATAATAATAATAGTTGTAATAACAACAATATATAGTAATGATAACTAAGGTGGTTATGGAGAATGTGGCGGTAGTATTAACATCAACATGTTAATCCTTTGACAAGTATATCAATATCAACTTGTAATTAGTAGTGAATACAATTTGACTTTACAAGAACTTGACAAACGTTAATCAACTAGATTTCATACTTAAGCTAACTAAGTAAAGAATTGATACCACAATTTATTAACATACCCAAATTTTGTGAGGTAATTTGGAATTCAAACTAAAGATAAGAAGCAAAAAAGTATTAAAATCAAACTTAATATTCAATTATCTAGATTGATGAGATCAAACTTCACCAATCAAGATTCAATGTACTCTTTAATCTAACATACATGTTTCACTCATATTTATTCCATCAACGCAATTGATTTAGATTTCCAAACATCGATTCCTCAATGTTTAGTTCTAAGCATCTTCATAGATCATCAATACCTTGTATGATTAATGAAGAAAACTTGCATTAATTAAATTCAACAATTTACATGTCTAATGAATTAAACTCCATTCTTAGCAATCCAATTCATTAGGTGATTCAAATCAATTCTTGATTCAACAACCATTTTCTAGTCAATCCAAGATCACAAGTCATGTCACAAACACTCAAGATGAGATAAACATTAAATGTAGAAAAGAATCATTAATGAAAGTAAATAGAGATTAACTGCACATATGTAGATCAAAAGAAATACATAAAATTGATTGATTACACTTTTGATCCCTACAAATAACAAAGTTTACTACTCATACTAAGGAGTCCCAACTCAAAATTATAAAATGATTACATCATTTGATTTACCTTTTTCTCTTCAAAATCAAGAACAATGGGTGTGAGTTCCTTCCTAACACACCAAGGTTTGGTTCCAAAACAAGAGAGAGAGTTTGAGCCTAAAGAGAGAGTGTTTGTAAAAATGAATTTCTATTCTTTTATAATAGGGGTAAAATGCCCTGTTTTTTTCATCCAAAATTGTTTGCCTAAAGAAATTCACAAGGCTAATTTGAAGTTTCTCCATCTTGAGATAACAAATTTGCCTTGCCAGAAAAGCTTCACCCAACCATTTCATGTACGAGCTAAAACATATATCTTTGTAGCCAATTTCACTGGGAGAGAATTCCTTTGCCCAATGATTTTTCAACTATTTGCTTCCCCTTCCTTCTTTTCCTTCAAAACTTGTTGTGTTCCTCTCCCAGTTCTTGGGATATCGGCTTGATTTAGGCTACACCTAAAAGATATAAATATAAAAAGTAGTTTACTAGATATAGTGTTGGTGTAGTGCACCAATGATAGGATTGTGTCTATAAGTTTTCAGCTTTTAAGCAAAATTTTTACATAGAATTAATATAATATAAAGACTTAAGTGGATTTTTATCTTTTTAGTATTACAATAATGCAATTTTAATCTTTAATATTTTAATTGAGTAATTTTAGCCTCTCAAATATTATAATTATGTGATTGTCATTTTTAAATTTTAACTAAGTAATTTTAATGACTAAAATATCATAATTGTACAATTTTTATCCTTCAAATATTACAATTATATAAATTTTGACCTATTTAAGTTACATATTATAATTTTTATTCATATATTGAATTATATATATTTATTATCATTAAAATTACTAATATAAGTAACTTAAATAGGTACAAATTTGTATAATTTTTATACTTGAGAAAGTAAAATCACACAATTATAATATTTAAGGACTAAAATTGTTCAATTAAAAATTAAAAGACCAAAATTGCTTAATTTCAATACTTGAAGGGTTAAAACTCCTGAGAGACCAAAATCTTACAACTACTATACTTAAGAGACCACAAACACATCTAAGCCTATATAACTAAATTATATAAATATCAATTTTCAAATTAATCTTTGAGATTTTTGAGTTGTGAAGTCATATATCAACTTTTATATTTAATATTTTATTTTTAAGTAGATAGAAAAAATAATTCATTTAATATATATTATAATATTGTTGACAAGAGATCAAATTTAAGTAATATAACATACATACATTAAAAAAAAAAAAAATTTCTCATAATATAATATTTATATTGAAGTATCAATGTTTTTTTCTTAATAATTCTTTTGATACAGATAAAAAATAATTCTCTCGATACTTTTAATTTCAAAAATAAATCAAGATCATTAATATCAAATTGTTCATTAAAATTTAAAAACTTTTTAAAATTAAGACAATATTTTGTTAACAAAATATTTTGAAATTCATCTTAACATAAAATTTTAAAATTTTAAATTAAAAAAATAAAAATAGTTTGATATTGCAATTACAATTAATTTTACCTATTATAATTGTGTACAACATTATACTAAAATTAATAGCATAATTTTAGCTCTTCATTATCTTAATAATTATTTTATCTTATCCGTTGAGATTGAAACAATAGTTACAATATTATCTAAAATTAATGTATAATATTTATTAGTATTTTGTTCAATTATATAAAAGTGCAACTAGGAATAACAACTATACGCATATCCATGGGTAATCTCTGAACATGTTTCGATTTTGACAAAAAAATACTCAATTTGATCGGACACGGGTACGTTTAGATAATTAATACCTGATCCAATAAATCGGGTATAGGGACGAGAATGAGTATATACGTACTTATCTCATATCTACTTAAAATTTATAAATATTTAATTTATTTTTAAAAAAATTTACTTAAAATTTTTGTAATTTCTTATTCTATTTTTAATTTATGTCAAATAAAATTTAATTTTGTAATTATTATTTTATATTAAAATTCTTATTTGTTATATTTTTTTGCAAAAAATAATATATATAATTAATTTTTAGATGAGTATGAGACTGATAAAAGTATACTTGATACCCGATAGATACAAGGATGGAGACACAAATTTCATATTCATCATATATGCGAATGAGGATGGGTATAGGATGTGAGAACGAGAACGGGAACGAGTATAGAGAAACCCGTACTTATCCCATCCTATTACCATTCTTATGTGCAACACTAAGATTATTATTAAAAATAAATTAATAATTAACAACCATTTAAAATAAATAATCACAAGCCATAAATTGTATAATAAGAATTAAAAACTTTTGGGACCTAAGGCTCATACCTAATTGGCCTTACACTTTACAAGACTTTGACCAATGGTTGACGCTAATAATAATAATAACGATGACCACCATAATTCTTAGATGATATTGTAGTATTAACAATAGTAAAATGACAATAATGTTGAAAAAGAGATGAAAATAAAAATATAGCTACTAGATAAAATATAAGTATAATTTTTTTTATATTTTAAATATTTTGCATTTGATAATAAAAATTATGTGGCTATACAAAATGATCTATTGTAACAAAGTTGAGTTTCTATGATGACTATTTTTTCTTGATTTGTGCTGTTTAATGATCTTAAATCAACCATAAAAATAATTACATTTGTATTGTCTAATACTATTTTTTATATAATAAATAACGTACAAGTTTCTTTAAATTTTCATATTTATTCAATATTTTTACTTAATTAATTTAATTGTTTAATAAATAAAATAAAATTATCAAAGGCATTGCTTGTTATGTTCAGTATAAAAAATTGTAGAAAAAAAAAGGTTCGGTATCAGAATTAATTCTTTTTTACTTTGACATGCATTCCATCTAACATTTATAATTAAAGATTAATTTCATATATAAAAAAAATCAAATTTAGATAACTCTAAAGCAAATGCGCACACGATCTCTTTATATTTTTTTTAGCATCAGAGTTTCATATTTCTATCCAACAATACAATTTAGAGCATACCAATAAAGATATGGACTTAATGATTTTGATGCAACAGTCCTTGCAAAGTGGCGAATAACTACGTTTGTTTATCTCCTAATGAACACACAAACCTAACACTTAATGATTTTTAATCTTCTATAAATGATTTTTTTTAACAACTTAATTGGAATATATTCTAAATATATATCATGATTTAGGTATTTTTCTAAATCCCCACTATTTGATAGGAATCTCATTTATCTGGTTAATAATAACTAAGCCATAAGATTAATTATTCGAAGTTAAGGTACTATTCTCCTCCTCCATAGGTCCATAGGTGGTGTTCTATATTCACAAAGATAAAGTTGAATTCTTATCATATGTTTAAAGAGTCCAAATTATTAGTTACATGTATCACACTTTGTGGGTGAATAACAAAATGAATTAACGAGAATTAATTGAATTATTATATCCATCTATGTAAATAAAATAAAATAAAATTATAATTAATTGCTAATATTTATATATAAAATTAAACAATATTTATATATTCAAAAATTGTTCTGCACAAAATTGTTTTTAAATAATATATATATTTGTTTTAAATTGAAAAAAAAATATAAATACTGATATAAAAAATCAATTAGCTAGTAGAGAGAATTAAATTTTAAAAAAATACATTTATATTATTTAAATTAATGTTATATATTACCAATAAAAAATTGTATTATCAATTAATTAAAAATTAATATTCGAGTGATTTTAAGACAATTATTAAACTAAATTATCAAATTTATAATTTGATGAAGGTATAAAGTACTTACTCTAGAACTTTCATTGCAAGTCTATTTTTTTTTAACCATTAAACGTTTCAGCTTTGGTTTGTGGATGGAGAACGTTACGTTACATAAATATTATGCAAACGCAGTAAAGAGAAAGTACAAAGTTGTTATTATTTTGCAATTTGTTTATTTTCTAAAGCTCTTTACGTGTTCTGATTTTTCTTCTTATTTTATAAATAAATAAATGCATAAACAAAATCCGATGATGGGTTGTCACTTGGTTACGAGAAAAATTTTCCCTCATTTTTCTCGAGAAATAAAATTTCCATGTCTGACACTGAGATTCTATTCTTACAATTCCTTCTCACTTTAATTTTTCCCTTCTCATTGTTTGTTTCCAGTTCCACTGATCTCTCGATAGCCCCGTCGTGGAGAACTCGCTGACCCCATTCTTAGACTTGTTTCTCCAATCCGAAGTTTTGATCTTTTTCTAGATTTTGAAATTGGAACATGATTTTTGGTCAACTGGGTCAAATGGGTTTCTTCCAAATCTTCAAATTGTTCTAAATCCTTTCTATTTGAAATTTTGCTTTTTGTGTGTGTTTGTTTGTTCGTGTGTGTGGTTGTTGGTGGGAATGGATTCCAAGGATGTTAATGGTAACATCAAGGATAAACACAAACCTGTTGTGGCCTCTTTAGGTGGTGAGAAGGTTGAAGATCACGTCAACGGTGAAGATGATAGTGATTCCAATGCTTTGTTGCCTCCTCGGAGAGGTGGCATGTCCAGAAACTGTGACAAGACTCGCCGGAAAGTGCAGTGGAATGATAGGAACGGGAACAAGCTTGCTGAGGTGTTGGAATATGAGCCAAGGTACCCTTTTTTATTATTTCAATTTGGCAAATCTGGGTGAATTTAGGTTGGCTATTTGAGTTGTTCTGTTTTGTCTTGATTTGATTTCATTTTATGGTAACTTGTTTCCAAAATTTTGATTTGGAATTTTGAATGTTCGCTTTGTTATATCTGGAACATCTGTTATGCTAGTCTAGTTGACTAGCTCAGTTATATGTTGCTATAAGATGAGGAAAGAGTCAAAATGTTTTTGTTTTTCCTAATTTGTAGCATGTGGTGAGTTTTTGCTAAAATTATGTTGAGTAGGGTAGTGATGTAAATCTATGTAGTGGTTTGTGATGGTGAGGTGATATCTTTTGCACAAAATAAGCTAGTCTTCTGGAATGAGTTGATGAAGTCCGTGGAAAGTGGAAACATTGGGGTCTGTCCATCATCTTCATTTTCATTAGCCATGGCCATGGTTTGATCATTGGGATGTGTTTATGGTGACAATGTTTTGTTTGAAATTACCTGTATTTTATTTTAGAGGAGTATTTGGATCAACATAAGGTAATCAGGTTTCGAAGTCTGTGTCAGAAGGTGAAGTTGGAGTAGAAATGAGAAACTGATTATGTTTATAATATTCACGGAACTTGTGTGTGGTGGTGATTAGTGGCTGCTTTGTTTTGTTGTTTCTTTAGAGGTTCTTTGAACCAGTACATTCCTCTTAATTTAGACATTTGGGTCCCTTTTTTCCTTCTCATTTCACTGTTTTGTTGTTTGACTTTTGGACCTTCTTTCAGTGCTGAAAATTTCCAAGATATGAAATTGGAACTTGTTATTTTTTTTTATTCTCTTCTCTATCCTCAAAAGGAAAAGAACAAGTCAATTTGAACTAAATTAATTAATGGCTTTAACTTCTTATAACTTGGTCAATCCCAAAAATAAAAATTTCTAGTTTTAACTTGATATTTACTGTTTATTTTAAACAAAAAAATTATTCAACTTAATTCATGGGTGTACCGTGTGTTTGGATCTTTAGAACTATTGGTTACTCTTACAGGTTGGCCTGTGTACCATGTCATGGCTTAGATTTTATATCAAATCTTAGTTTGATCTGACCATATAATAAATTTTAAATTCTCCTACTTTCTACTGCTCAATTTACTTAGGCCTTACTGTAGAGTAGTTTATTTGTTAGGTATCTTTGTGTTAATCTGTAAATGGTTCTTTTGGATGGTGTCTTATTTGATAGATACCCAATAGGATTGGAATTTGGAGAGCACTTCAGGTATTTCATTGTGTCACACTCTTTTACTAACTATTCTTCATTATACCGCAGTATATTTTGCCCTCCATTAGGGGTAACACTCTCCTAGTAACTTACGAGCTTCTTATGTTTTTGACTTATGACAGTATTAAAAAAATTTGAAAACTCATTGTTTTTCTTGCCATTTATGCAAAGCGAAAAAGATTGAATAACATTAAGTTATTCAATTGAAGTTTAAATTAGAAAAAAGTTATTTTTTTAGACTTGCAAAATACTAGCTATTTTTATCGAAATCTGCAAGTGCTCCACTGGACTGGGTGTTGATCTTCACTCCTTGACATCGGTGGGGGCATCTGTGAAAAGGATTTTGGTGCTCAAGTGGAAAGTGATCTCACAAGTAGAATATGAATGAAATTGGGTTAAAACTTAAAAGTGATACGTGTATCCTTTATATTGATGAAATTATCCACAAGCAGGAATTTCTTTAATTTAAACAAGCTGTAATGGATAGATAATATGATAAGATGGGATACAGTTGTTACATGGGGTTACCAAGTAGATCCTGCGCTTATTATCATGTTGATCTGTTATAGTAGGGGAGAGTGGCGTGATTCTCACTATTCTATCTTCGTGCCTTGCAGTCTTGTAACTGCCTTTGAAAGGGTGATGGTTAGCTTAGCCACTGAGTGCGTGTGCTACTTGATCAGCAGCTAGACCTTAAGTCGGCTTGGCCGAGTTGGTCCTAGATTGGGTAGCAAACTAGCTAAGTGATTTTTGAATTTTAAACCCGCAGCTTTTAGGATTTGCATGGAATTTGATATGCCATAGCCCATCTTTCTCAATCGTATTCCTGATCTCTCCATGTGTTTGATCATACCCAAAAAGCATGTGGAGGCCTTTTAATCCTTTTATCACCCGAGCATTAACACTTGCAAAAACATTGTTGTTGACTGATGTAGATGATCTTTGGAGGGATAAATAAATGTGCACCCAACCTTTCAAGGACCAAAACTCCAGTTTGCTAAATTTTTAATTTATGATGATTTGTAATTCTTTTAATATGGAAAATGTCAATGTAAGTTGCTGGCAGCGATTAGGTTAATTTGAGAAATATTGCTGGAATGCCAATGCTCAATCCCGAATGTTCTCGCTATCGAATTGTCTCTTTAAAATATTGGAAATTGTGTGATAGACAACAAGTATGGATCGATTAAAGTTTTTCCAGGGGCAATGGGACAATATATTAGAAATTTAGAATAATCTGATTCTTTACCAACTTCCCACCTATGCATCACAATTTCTTTAGCAAAAGAGTTTTAACTACCTAAAATTTACTTATTATGTTTAATGACTCTTGAACATAAAGCATTTGCATTAATAGCACATATTGAAAAACATGAAACGCGTTTTCTTTTTTAGATAAGTACTATGAATCAATTTAATCAGTTTAGGGAAAAGGGGTGCTACTGAAATCACCACATGCGTAAGGTTTCTCTTGTATCTGTAATGCATTTTGCAATACAACTACATTGTAACAAAATGTAGGGATAAATAAGTTTTTAGTCCCTCAATTTTTTAAGAATTTGATTTTTAGTCCATTTTAAATTTTTTGCCAACTTTTAGTCCTCTATTAGTTTTCTGTCACATAAATTGGTTATTGAGATTAAGTGTTATTTGTTAAGTGATAATGTATATTAATAAATCATGACTAACTTGACTTTTGATACTCATATGATTGCTTAATAAATGTCAAATTATGAGACTTGTAAGTTTACTATTCATTTATGGTCACAGGGGTGAAAAGTTGTTTAAATAACATCTTTTATTTCCAAAAAAGAATGTTTGATCATGAGCAAATAGAAAAATTACACATCATATGATTTGATATCTACTAAATAGTTACATGAATATCAATAATCGAGTCAATTATGATTTATTAGCATACATCATCACTTAACAGATGAAACTTAATTCTAAGGACTAATTTATGGGATAAAAAACTAATGAAGGACTAAAAGTTGGCAAAAAATCTAAGAGGGACTAAAAATCAGATTCTTAAGAAGTTAAGGGAGTAAAAACTTATTTAAACCCAAAATGTAATTATGTATGAGAATCAGTCCTATGCGTGTTAATTATTGAGATTATACAAAAATTATTTCCCATTTGGTCTCCTATTGTGTCTGCAGTGATGTTAGTGACTCAGAAGATGAGGATTCAGATTCTTGCATCTGTACAATAATGTAGAAACCATCTTGATAATTGTCTCAAACTCTGCTGGATCAGGGAGGCATTATTGTGGCTTGCCAACCCTGATATTGACCAAAACATGACAACTCAGCAGGTTTGATCTTTGTTTTGAGGTGGGATCAACATTCCAACGCGCCAAGACAAGCAACTTCTCATGTCTACCAAGCAATGGATCCAGTTTAGCTTACTGGGTTTTGAGATGATTTCATAGATGGACTTTGGGGTGAGTTCTCGGACGTAGAACAAAATACACATGATAGCAATATGATTTGGGCAGTGATGATAGCATTCATGCTTAGCCACATCTACTGATACTGTAAAAGCTGTGCACTCAATTGCTTTAATCATCATCTTTCTAATTAAAGTGGAGACCCCTCTATTAAATATTTCCTTTTGTTTTCTAGTTCCTCAATATATGGAACAAATTCAAGTAATTATGCTGAAACATAGTCCTTTTGTACTGCTGGTATCTTTGCTGCAGAATAAGCGTTTATATTCAGTTCTACTTTTTATGTGAATCTACTCTTCATATTATGTTGTACAGACTCTCTAGACAAAAGTCTTATATCCTACTATGTTTCACTTGACCACAACTTTTTATAGAGATTTTTTATTTTTATCAGTCCAACTACTAGATCAGAAGCTATCACGAGGTACATCAAGTCTTAAAATTTTAGTAAAACTGAAAAATCAATTGATATTATATTAGATTACTTTCTTTTATTTTTTTTATTGTATGCTTTCAGAATGTATGTAAATGTCAATTTTTAGAGTAGATACTTACGTTGGTTATGTAAGGTGCATCTAAAATACATAGATACAAATAGATACAAATAGACAGAACCTCACTCCATTTCATTACAACATAACCATTGACAGCAAAATACAGGATAAGTATTACAAACAATTATTATTCAGTCATCCTAAATAGCTCATACCAACTTTTGCTAAAGGAATAAATGACAGAAGAATCAAGTTTGATGCATCCTCTTCTAAAATTGGTATCCTCAGATAGTGTTATTATTATAATTCACCTCATGATGTGATTCCTCACCAAGTAAAAATTAAACTATCAAGTCAATGGAATTAATATTTTTAACATTTTTATTCTCTGTCATGCCCAAGTGAACTGTAGTCATAGAGCATTAGGATTTGGAGAAACAAGCCAGTTGGAAAGACTAGCATCAACTGCAATTTCCGGCAATAGAGACTTGGAATGATGTATTATTGATTTTGACCTGAAAGGTGAGAAATTGAAGCTTGTTTCTGAGACCAAGGGCTTGCTTTTCCCTTGCCCTGGTGGAACATTCTTCTTCCTGCTCTGCTTATTACTTGATGTAACTTTCGCTTTGATTGCTTTCCACTGAGTGAGGTTCTCTACGATCTCATTACAGAATGCATAAACATGCCTCTGTTTTTTCCACTTAAATTTGATTTCAGCTCAGCATCTTTGGAAGCAAGTGGCAATTGATTCTTTTTTCCTTTTTCTGCCACTAAGGAATATATACTTTGATTGCATGCTTCAAACTCTTTATTGTCTTCACTGCCATCACTATCACTATCATCAAATTCATCATTGTCACCATATACATCAATATCAGATTCCTCGCATGTTATTTCATGCTCCTCATCACAGCCTTTTCTCTAGTTGTGTAGTATCTGTAATTAGGATATGTCATTGTCAAAGCTGCAGACCCTTCTGTTTTTCAATTGCGGTTGTCACTTTCTTCTTTCTCATTATTATCCAAAATCTGATAAGCAGTGAGGTTTGACTCATATATCTCTACATTCAAATTAAACCTTACTTTCTTGCTGTATTTGCCAATAGCCTGCTCCTTATGTTTATCTCTACATCAATTAAGGGTACTTCCATATACACATGAAATATTAAGGGTATGTTTGAATAAACTTCTCTATAAACACTACTGGGAGACAAAAATTATGAAGAAAATTAAAATAAATTTTTCTATAAATTAAAATTAATTTATGTATAAGTTTATTTGTAATTTTTTATGGAAAAACTTTATAAGAGAACTTCTACAAATTATCTTATGCATGAAATAATTTTAGTATATGATGAAACATATTTCATTTCTCTTTCTTATTTTGTTCTCTTAGAAGTGTTTCCGGAAAAGTTTATCAAAAGAAACTCTAAGAGAAAGAGAGGAAGATAAGTGCTAACTACCTGAACTCAGAAAATGGGAAATGAGGTTGTCTGTGATGGCATGATTTACAATGGGAGCGGAGTGTAGAGCATCACAGTTTCCTTGTTTCAGCAAGATGAAAGAACCACAGTTGTATAAACTGATAGACTAACTGGAATGTGAACAGCATTGTTCTAGAATGGTACAAAAATAAGAACAAAAGCACGGAAAACCAATGATACAATGATAAACTTGAAGATTTGGTGTGGGGTTTACTCGGTCAGCAGCTATAACTTTGTAGAGTCTCTTTTGGGCGCTTTCTTTTATTGGATAAATCAAAACAAGCCTGAAAGCATCCCATTCTAGAGCATCCTAATGAAAGAGAAGGAAGCTAGGGAATGTAGACTAGATTATATAGAAGAACATTAACCAATGCTTTAGATATTGATTAAAGAATTAAAATGAGAAGATTTTGAGAAAATATTCTATACATCATTAGTGTGAACACTTATATACTATTATCTAATCACAAATTGTTATGTATATTAATTTTATTATTTTTATAATAATCAATTTAAAAGTTGAATCAATCATAATTTCTGATCGGTTAATTACATTAAATTATACCGACAGTTAATGAAAATTAAACTGAGTCTGAATAAAAGAATATATTATTAACATGCCATAATTTCTAATACAATGGCCTAGTAATTTTAAGTATTTTTTATTCATTAATTCCTTAATCAGTATCGGAAAGACACTGATAATGGAAACAATTATATATGATGACAATTGACACATAAGGAAGAAACCTCAATTATTAGCATTGCCATGCAGTGACAATAACAGTGTGATATATATGGCTTGTGACAAATTTAAAAGCCGTTTGGCACTATTGAGTTTCGAAAATGATCACGTTAGGCACGCAATGATGAATGAGAGACAAGAAGGGCGCATTGAGTATCTTAATCTTGTAAGAGTTGGGACAAGCACATGTGCTTTCTTTGGTAATAAGGATGGATGTGGAAATAACAGAAAGAGTAGTGTTCTGATATGTCTAAAAAAGTCCTACATCGCTTAAGAGTCGAGACTAAAAGTAGCTTATAAACATATTTTTTTCTTAATCCACTGAGACACTTTTTAATGGACAAAATCGTGATGACCCAATGAGTGTCAAAGCGGACAATATCTGAGATGCGGTGACCCTAACAATGACAACCTACTTATGATAGGAACAAGTGGATAAAAGAAAAATAGAGTAAGAATTAAGGTTGTACGGTAGAAGAGAAATATAAAGAAATTGAAAGGAAGGTTAATTTTTTTTATTAGATTATATTTAATTGAATTAAAAAATTAAAAAATGTTATAAATTAATTTACATATATATCCTTATAATTATATTTATTATTTTAGTAATTTTTAATTAAATAAATTCATATAATCGATTAAATAGTGATCATATTTGATTATATGGATTATCAAAAATATTAAAATATATTTGAGAATTCACATAATACTCGATACATAATCAATTATATAAATCTAGAAAGTCAATATAATTTAAAATTTAAATTTCATAATTAATTATGATTGTTAATAGTCACATCATGATATAGATCATTGATAGTTGTGTCTATAAAGAAAAAATAAAAATTCACATTTTCCTTTTAGTCCACTCATTTTAGCATATATTAAAAAGTTGAGACTCACTAATTTCATACTCTCTCTTCTCTTCTAATAACCTACACCAAACACAAAATATCTCATATCTTTCATTCTCTTCCCCTACCCTCCTTCCCCTTGTTCACAATTGATCTACGCCAATCAAATTGATAGAGTTGCTTTTAGAGTAACAAATAGGATTTGTTTATAAATCTCATGTATGAATTAAATCGGATTGTTTTGTCATTAGCTTCTACACTTGGTGTCTGAATTAAATTGGAATTTGTTTTTTTCAGTCTAATAAATTCTGTGTGAGTGTGATAAATAAAGTTCCTACAAGTGCGAAGCATTATTGGACATGAATACAAACACTTAATAATAGATTTTGCAAATCAAGATATTTGTTTTAGTGACACATCCCATATAAGAGACATTTTTTTTATTAGTAGAGCTTAAGGGTTTAAAATTTAAGATTTTTTTATTAATAAAAATTACAATTATAATAATAATTATAAAAAAAAGTTAAATCTAAAACTTTGCGGATATTATCTTAACTCTCACTACTATATCCTTATGGATTCAAAAGAAGTGTTATATATAATACAACAAACCAAAGTACACACTCTAACTCTACATCCTTTATTTTTTGCAAACACCGACTTAAACATTGAAATTTTTGTAGGTACCATATTAGTGTTTAACTTCCAGAAGATCATCAAATGTTTTTAATTCTTCACCTTAAATTAGTGTTGAACACTAATTAAATGCTTACGAACTTGAAGACAGGTATTAGTTTAGGATATTCCATACAACTAATATTATTTTCTCTAATTTTTTTTCTTTATAACTTTAGACTGATTAAATTTATTTCCATCGGCCATTAATTTGTTAATGGGAGTTTAATGAAATGTCATATTTATTTGTTTTGGTAAAAATGTAAAGGGGCATCTAAATATTAAACAATTTAGTGTCGTTTCAAAAGAAAACACTGGTAAACCCATGGGATTTGTCAAATGAAACAAGATATATATAAAGTTTCTATCTTACATCTCTTTAAGACCGATAAAACAAAATTAAGTTCTCTGTAGCCCATGACATGGATCAAAGTATCATCTTCTCTTCAAGGGAAAAAGAACTCAATCGTAAAGAACCCATTACGAATGATATTTTCAATTCAAGCATGATTAACTTTATCCGTTGTTGTTTTCTAAAAAAAAAGGGAAAAAAGAACAATACATATCCATTGTACATCCACCAATGCCAACGTGATATCATGAGTCAAATTGACAATGCCATCTATTTTCTCAAACTAACTACCTCTCTCTAAACTAACACAGAAGATGATGACAAGTTGACAACACATACAAATAAACACAATAGAAAAAATTAAGGTGTAAAAACCATCGTGCAATTTAGTTATGCTAATTAATTTATGTATGCTTGCTTTATCACAACAAAAGAAAAATGCTTCCTAAAAAATCGCATTCAAATGCACGAGTCTTCTATTTTGGATTGTAGACCAACTTTTGTTTGTTTCTCGTATTCTTCGCTGATGCCAACGTGGGCAAACCCACAATCACTCATCTCTTTCTCTCTCCCCCGTGAACCATCCATGCACAAAAGTGCTGTCATTAACTTAACGTAAACCAACACCATACCCTTAATATTCATGCACTCTCTCTCTTATCCCCTTTTTTAAAGACAAAAACACCACTTTCTTTCTCCCCACCCATTTGTTAAAAAAATATATAGCCATTTTGTGGTCCCCGGCACCATTCACCGTTGGTTTCTGACCCACCTTCCATCTTCTCCACCTTATGGGTCAGCAAACCCGCCGGGAGTGCTATTCCGGCCCCTTACCTTCCACGGCGCAAAACCGTAAAGATTACAACCCGAATTATTGTCATCATCATCGTTGTCACCATCGTCATTCTGAACCACAGCGCTTCTTTGAGTTTGTCGGCAAGGACGAGACTAATGACCTGGTCTCGCCCTTCGAGAAACTCAAGAAGCTAAGTGAAGATGACATTAGGGAATGTGCCTATGAAATATTTTTTGTGGCGTGCCGGTCGTCCCCCGGATTTGGGGGACGACTGACACACTCGTTCTCCTGGAATAGTCAGGAGAACGAGTCGAAGCCGAGCCAGGTGGTGATGTCGCCAATAAGTAAGGTGAAGCGGGCTCTAGGGTTGAAGATGTTGAAGAGGTCACCGTCGAGGAGAAGGGTGTCGGGTGGCAGCCCGTCGTCGCCGCCGGTGAACGGAAGCAGCCCTTTCCATAACACCGCGCCACCGTTGAGGCCGCGGCGGCCGATGACTTCTGCGGAGATCATGAGACAGCAAATGAGAGTCCCTGAGCACAACGATAATCGCCTGAGGAAAACCATCATAAGGACCCTCGTTGGCCAAGTATGTGAACACATGCATGCTCCATGCACAATATATTTTTATTTTATTAACTTTTATTTTTAGTTTTTAAATAAGTTTTATTTGATTTTAGTCCTTAAAATTTTCTTCACTAATATAAAAAATTGACATCAAGGACCAAGATGTTAACAAGAGAAAAAATTCAAACACTAAAAAATGAAAATCGACAAAAATTTAGAAATTAAAAATAATAAAACAATCGTTCACTAAAAACAAAAATTGACAAAAAATTTAAAGATTAAAAACATATATAATCTTATATTTTTATTATTAAAAAATTACAAAAATAATAATAAAATTCAAACATAAAATTTTGTGTTTTTGTCATTAGTTCGAACTTAATAGTTTCTACATGTTGTAATATGCTGGTAATTTAGTAGTTATTATTTCTGAAATTGTTTTGGTTATGGTTTTCTATTTTCTGTTAAAATTATGTGATGACTTTGGAAGTTAAGCACTCAGCATGATTGAAGGTGAGTTATATCAATTAATTAGGATCTAACATTCTTGGATTAGGTTTTTTCATAGGAATGGATTACATGGACATTCACTTATTTTAAGATGTTCGTAAAAGAATACATCTGTTGTTTTTTTTTTTTTATATAAAAAAATCTTTATTAAATTCAGTTTCACCACCGTTAATTATATGGTTTGATCTGTTTGCAATCCTGAATTTTTACACTCCAGTTCTAGTACTCACGTTACACTCTTTTTTAATGTTTTTCTTTTTCATTTCTATCGTACCATTGCCACATCCCTATTTCTTTATTTTTCCTAAAGTAAACTTATCATTATGATTTCGGTGATTTGTTTTTGTTATATTATCATATTTTTTTTAATGTATTTGTTAGTTCATCATTAATATTACTCTTTGTGTTTTTTTATCCGTCAAATTTTTACTAAAATTTTATTTTTACTGGTATGTCATTTTTAAATTTCAAGACAACATTAATAGTTATATTATCAATTATATCTTTATATCTTATTTAATTTTTGATTAATTTATACATGACAACTAATATATATTTATTTGAAGTAAAAATAAAAGAAAGTATAATAAAAAAATATTAAAATCATTTTATGAAAAATAGAAAAATTTATTATATTTTTTGATTTATATAAAATAACATTAAATGACTATTATAAAGAAACAAAGATAGTAATATATATCATTCAAGCTTTACAACATCTCGAAGGGCAATTTTCCATTTCATGTATATTTAATCACAGATGTAATTTTATTTAGATGAGGGAAAAAGGTTATATCCAGTGTTTTAAAACCCGGACCGACCCGGCCGGTCGGACCGGTTGGACCGGGAACCGGTGGTCCAGCCGGTTCGAATCTGAAGTTAGATCGGTTATGCAGTCGACTCGTTTCAAACCGGATTGAACCGGTCAATCTTCCGGTTCAACCGGTGAACCGATGGGTCAAACCGGTTCAACCACTTTTTTTTCTTACTTTTTTTTAAATTTTTTAAGGGACCATAAATCACAAAAATAATAATGAAAATTGAATCTCTTAATGAAAAAGCAAGGAGTCGTATTAAATATAATAATGACTACTTATTCTAATATATTTGTTTGCAATATATACAACTTAAATAACTTTTATAGTATATTATTAATTTTAAATTATATATTTAATAATGCAATATCTATGTAAATATTACATATATTATTTTGTGATATTAATTGCAAGCATATTATATATGTACATATTATTTATATTTTTAATTTGTATTAATATACCGTTTAACATGTAATTTTTTTATGTATTTTTTTACAAAATAAAAATAAAAATAATTTTAAATAAGATAGAAAAATTGAAATTTAAAATAAGATATGAATTTATTAAAATTTATAAGTATAAAATATATTTAATATAAATATTTTTTAATAAAAATCGAGTCATGCGGTTCAACTAGTGACCCACCGGTTCAACCTTTGACTCACTGACCCAGTACCTTAACCGGTTCGATGACCGGTCCAGTTTTAAAAACTATGGTTATATCTATATATCTGATTCTCTGTGCTGTGTGTCACTATTAAACATATTATTAATCAGGATGACACAGTCAAATCAAATAATTAACTAGATTTGTGAAACTAAATACCCTTTTTAAATATATTGAAAATAATATGAAAATATCAATTTACTTTGAAACCTGACAGATAATTAAAAAATTATTTACTAGTTTGAAACTTGCTCTCATGTTGATCTGCTTGAAAATATTCATTCAAAACCTTATTTTGCAGCAAAGCATTATACTATATTATTTACTTGATCTTCAAGGAACAAATCGGAGATATAGCAAACAGCAATTAATAGAATATACAAACAATGGAACTGCTGACATTTGAACTTTTTGTAGGATAGATTATGCTGTGTCTATAAACATGTAAAGCACTTACTGTTGATCTAACTAAATATTTCAAAATGATTTCAACATTGCAGGCAGGAAGAAGAGCAGAAACTATCATTCTACCTTTAGAACTTCTGAGGCACCTAAAACCCCAAGAATTCAGTGATTCCAATGAGTACCACATGTGGCAAAAGAGGCAGCTCAGAGTCCTTGAAGCAGGGCTCCTCACACACCCTTCAATCCCTTTGGAAAAGACCAGCACCTTTGCCATGCGCCTTAGGGACATCATACGTGTTAGTGAGTCAAGAGCTATAGACACTGGCAAAAACTCTGACACTTTGAGAACCCTTTCCAACTCGGTGGTTTCCTTGGCATGGAGAAGTTCCAATGGTACCCCCACTGATGTTTGCCACTGGGCTGATGGATTCCCTTTGAACATTCACCTCTATACTTCTCTCCTTCAAGCCATTTTTGACAATAGGGATGACACATTAGTTCTTGATGAAGTTGATGAGCTGCTTGAGCTGATAAAGAAGACATGGTCCATATTGGGGATCACTAGGGCTATTCACAATTTGTGCTTCACTTGGGTGTTGTTTCAACAGTATGTGGCAACTGGGCAGATAGAACCTGACCTTCTGTGTGCCTCACATGTCATGTTGACTGAGGTGGCCAATGATGCTAGGAGAGAAAGGGATTCATTCTATGTGAAACTGTTGACATCAGTGCTGAGTTCAATGCAGGGTTGGGCTGAGAGGAGACTTGTTGATTATCATGAGCATTTCCAGAGAGGGAACATTGGCCAAATTGAAAGTGTTCTTCCTGTGGTGTTGTCAGTCTCACAGATTTTAGGTGAAGATCTCGTAATATCTGATGATGGGGAAGGGGGAGAGAAAGGAGATATAACCATAGTGGACTCATCTGGGGATAGGGTCGACTATTATATTAGATCTACCATAAAAAATGCATTTGACAAGGTTTGTTCTAAACTTATCTTCTCCTTACTCCTTAGTATTTTAAACTAGTGTATATATAATCATTATGTGTTCATCTTTTTCATGAATGCAGGTAATTGAGGCACTGAATGCCAAGGCTGGTGAATTGGAAATAAAGGGTGAATTCAGTGAATTTCTGCTTCATTTAGCTCAGGAGACAGAAGATTTGGCAATGAAGGAAAGGGAGAATTTTACTCCAACGCTAAAGAAATGGCACCCAGCAGCAGGTGCAATTGCAGCAATGATGTTGCACAGCTGCTATGGGCATGTACTGAGGCAATATTTAGGTGATGTGACCTCACTCAGTCGTGAGACAGTTGAGGTGTTGCAAAGGGCTGAAAAGGTGGAAAAGGTTTTGCTCCAAATGGTGGTTGAGGACTGTGATGGTGATGGTGAGAATATTGGCCAATCAGTTATGAGAGAGATGGTTCCCTATGAAGTTGATTCAATCATATTGAACTTCCTGAGAAAATGGATAAATGAATCACTGTCCAATGGAAAAGAGTTTTTGCAAAGAGCAAAAGAAACTGAAGTAAGTTTTGGCTCAATGGTCCTCTTTCCATCAAAATAGATTGAAATGAAGGGCACAATTAAGACCATTTGTTTAGATCAGATTTGTTGTTTTCGATAAAACTGAGTATGAATTTCTAATTTCCTCTGTCTTTCACTGCAGACATGGAATCCAAAGTCCAAATCAGAGCCATATGCACAATCAGCCGCAGAGCTGGTGAAATTTGCCAGGACAACTGTAGAGCAATTCTTTCAAATTCCAATAGGAATAACTGAAGATACAGTTCAAGAACTTGCTGATGCATTGGAAAGTCTCTTCCAGGACTACGTGATATTTGTTGCAGCATGTGGTAAGCATTTTGATATTACTTTGTGCAACTTGATCATGTGTTTGCACATGGAATTGAGAAATTCTGCATGACTAGAGTACTTACTACATATAGGCAGTTAGGTACAACCAATCAAAAGTTTTAAGATAACGCTAACAGAACTTGAGCACACACTTCAGCAGGGACTTTGTA